AGAAAAGAGTGTTTTCCTAATATTGGTGTTACGAGATCCCAAATTCTGAATAAATATGGTCTTTAATTAAGATTTTGTAATTCATCTTCTGTAATGAGCTTCTTGAATTGAGATTAGTAAACACAGAAATGACTGATAAGTTTTTTTTAATAATTTAAAGAAAAGCAACATTAATCTCCTAATGAGGCCACAATATATCAGCCTATTAAAGGTCCAACAAGTTTACCTCCGATGCTTCTCTCTCCACAGGCCAGAACAAGACAGGCTGAACTGCAGGTGTCCCTTTAGCGCTGCCGTCGACCTCTGCAGGAGATGATTAACGGCGCTGGGTATAACTTCGAGGCACGTTTTCATCTCCCCCTGGTTAAAAATACATTGAAGAAGGACTTTAACTCCAGTGGAGGAGACAGAGGGAACAAAGACACTCAGCAGTTCTGAGACACAGCACCTGGAGCTGTGCGACACATGGTACCTGGCCTGGAGGAGTCAGGTCTTTGTAGCTCCGCATGTAAAACTTAAGACTCAGCAAAGCAGAAAAAGGATTAACTAAAATCTGTGAATTTAACTGCGTCACATTAAAAAGATTCTGTATGGACACTCATTTTATGTTACGATGTCGGTGTGTGGAGCCTGATTTGTAGAAGAAATGAAGCATCAAATGTGGAGCAGGCGTTACTAAAACAGGCAGGTGACCTTTAAAATCACTGTCATCAAGAACAAACTTTACCAAACAAATATTTAACTTAAATTTAGCCAAATTATTTTCATAGTAAATTTGTAGTTACAGTCAATTATGAATAGAAGTTCCAGAGCGGGTTATAGGATATCTGTCATTGATAAGACATCATACGAATCGTTCTGCAGGTATTTTGGTATTTATACATACAGTTTTCAAACACTAATAAAGTTTTTTCTTCTACTCTGCTCATGGCTTCATGTCTTGTTTTAAATTTAGCTTTGTTTAAGAAACTACATGAGCTTCCATATGATGCTACAAACGTACATTTTGCTTTGTAACAGCCCGGGATACTGCAGAGAGAATTTCAAGTAACCTTAACGTCCCATTCTTTGCTTCCTCAAAGTCATGCAAAGTGTAAGTAAGGAGGAGTTTTTTTTTTCCGGCTCACAAAGTGTACTTCCCTTTGTCTCCTGGGAAACAGAAATTATGGGTCAGATTGAAGCCTCTGGGTGGAGTTTTAAGGTAGTTTCCTGACCTGCATGAGAAATCCCATGAGAGCCACATGGCCATGCAGATCTAGGATAAACACTGTTCCTTCCTCACTGCTTGAGGTCTCACAAATCCCCAGTGCTGCATGTATAATAATAATGTATAATAATAATGTAATAACAGCAATGATAAACAATAGCAATTCTAACTCTTCAGTATACATTTTTTATTTTTCTCTGATCTGAATAAAACCCAATATGCAGGCGTACTGAAGTTGTAACCCTTCCTTTTGCCATAAATGGGATTTCACGTTTGTTGAAGGGAAAATATTTGATGTGCTTTACACTCAGTGGACAGGTTATTGGGTAAACCTGTACAGTCAAATGTAATCCAATACAACTGTCTTGCTATAAACTTTACTTTTATGATGTTTATAAAGTTTAGTTTTTGCCGACACCATCGTCGAGGTGTAAATGAAATGAGCTGTTTTAGTTAGTGATGGTATCGCGCTGGACTGTATTTTACTCAGAGGAGTTTCTAATATTCTGCCTCTCATGGATGTAAATGAAAAGAATAAAAAAAACCAAAAACAATGAGAAAGACCTCTCGGTAGGAAGTAGTTCAGTACAACAACCACCTCAAACTATCCCCTCAAAAATAAATGCATTATTTAATTTACACATTTTTGACAATGTCAGAACAAACTGTACATTATAAACTACATTATAAACGGTAGATGAATTTACGGCAGAGCTGCTGAATGGGATTGCATTACACTGCCCAGGTGTACCTAATAAAGTGACCACTCCTGTGGACATTCGTTATGTCGTCCATAGAGAAAAACGTACAGTATGTTCTCCTACGGTGATATTAGGGTCAGTTATACACCAGAGAGGTTTAACTTCCTGTCGACCTCTTATGAACAAACTCTTCTATACTCCACTAAGGGAAACCCACATAGGCTCATTTAGGAATTACAGATACAGATTAAATGAAAAATCATTTGTATTTAACCATGTTTTACAGCTGAGGACCTAAAATGAATCAAGTTGTGTAGCTGTTTATAAGCAGTTATCATTCATTTTGGAAAAGTCATGAAACATCATGCTGATAAAACAATGTTTCTGAGTGAGTGTTAAAAGAGGGCACAGGGAGTCAAGGTAGTTCGGACAAAACATGGATTAAATTATACAATGTATTTCAGTAGCACGTTTATAAAAAGGCACAAAAATATATTCCCTCTTCAAATCAGTGGAACTTCACTTAAGTCCTGCAATTAGCATTGACTAGCAGTACACAAACATTTAATACATGGTTTATAATACACTGTAATGTAGTTGTACACAGATAAGGATATTTAAGTGTTTAACATTATACAGTATTTGTCAATAATAATTGCTCCTATGAAGATATATTCCATATGATTATGTTATAATATATTGTCTTTACTTATCTGTTTATACACCAGCCTCCACTTGTGAGTGACCACAGGAGGCGTTAGAGTAGTTGATAAATACATTCATATACACTTAGATTCACTTACAACTACATTACAGTGTTTATAAGTGCTACACAGGGGGGCTGTTGCTTTAAAATCTAATAAGAAGGAGTTAAATATTATCAGTGAAAGATCAATATTAAACTCCTACCCAACAGTACTGACTCAGATGATCCACTAGAGGGCAGCGCAGAGCTATTCATCAACAACAACAACAGCAGAGCTCAGCATGAAACCAGGCGGGACTATGCCTACAGTTCAGCAGCTTTACAAACATTATTTTACTTAATGATTCAGCAAGTAGTTTATAAAACTTTTTTACCTCATTATATAAGCTACTAACAAATGACAACAAAATGACAGAGAGAGAGCACTCCTTATTACTCTACAAAGTAAAGTAATTAGAGGTGAAATTATTATTATGATTAATTAGTCAACAGAACATTAACTGGCACCTATTCTGGTGATAAATTAATCATTTAAATCATTCTCTATGCAAAAATGTCAAATGTTCTCCAATTCAATCTCAGTCATTGTGAAAGTTTGCTGCTGTCTCTCACTGTAAACTGAAAATCTTTGGATTTTGGTCAGTTAGTCAGACAAAACAAGACATCTGAGGACAGGGCAGCCATTGTATTCTGGGAGAAATTACATTAAATCATTCATTAATAAATCTGGAAAAATAATCAACATATCAATCATGAAAACAACCATTTGCTGCAGCCGCCACATTAGCAGTTTTAAGAAGCTCTCATGCATATTGCAAGCCCAAATGAGATTCAGCCGTGTAATTAATTTTCAGTGGTCTCCTTTGAGTTTCACTGTTTGTTTGTTAGTGTCACTTTGTGCTACAAGCACACGTGCGAGTGTCTGCTGGAGGGGATGAAAGGTGGCTGACGTCAGGCTTAGTTGGCATGCCAACTCAGAGAATGGAGCTCACATCTGAAAAACTGAGCAGCCGAGGTGGTCTTAGTGAAGGGAGACGAAGGCCAGGCTGCACTGACGCAGCAACTTTTTTTTCTTATGATATCCACATTTCTACCTATGTGCCAATACACCACCTGAAGCTACAAGTTATTAACCTCACCGACCAACAATATTGATACCGATTTAGAAACTGATAAATGATTAAACTCCGCATGTTAATTTTACATGATATCAAGAAAAAAAAAAAAAAAAAAATCATGCAGCTACAGTTCCCCCTTCAAGGACAAAAAGGTGAGAATAAAGGTGACAAAGAACCACAGTGGGGAAGTCTCGCTACACAATGCCATGGTAACATTGGTGGGGGTTACCCAGGAAACCACCGTCGTCATGGAGACTGCATCACAAGGCGGGTTCAGTGAGCAGGGAGGCAGGACGTGCTGCACGTTCTCCCTCCTTTCATCCACTCTGTTTTCATCCTGTCATTACATGAACTCTCTCTCTCTCTCACACACACACACACACACACACACACTATACGTTTCCTCGCTCTCTCTCTTTGGACCAAATTTGAAAAGATATAAATAATTATCCAAAAGGCCATAATGAAATTTAGAGTCGGGGTCACTTCATGTTCGTTTTATTTAATATAGGCTATATAGGCAGTTCTGAATAAAAATACAATTTGACGTAAAGCTCGACTTATTAGTTTATGATAAGCGTCTCCATCTACACCACTCTGCGGTTTATTACCTGAATAATAATCAGCACAAGACTCAAGAGTCCATATCTCCACAGGTTATGATATTAAATATGACCTAAACAGGCATTTGGCTATGTAAAAATGACCAGAGTCTATTCTTTACATTACTGGACTATGAAACTTTTCTCTCCACGAAGCACGAGACGTCGTTTTTGACTGACGCATACATACAACATAGTAGACTATAAGCTACACGTGTATCTCAATCATGAACACCGACAACTCCCGCATTATAACATCAAGATATGTAGGCATCATGTGGCAATATACACCGAGAAATATCTGTTTTAACAAGCCGCTTATTTCTTCATTAAATGTAGTTTGTTTTTTTATATCGACAACAGCTTGGATCGCATATGGATGAATACTCTTCCAGTGCAAGTGTTTGTGCGTCACATTAATACTTCTCCATCTCTTAGAAATACTCGAAACACATGAATCTACACTGGAGACGAGCAGAATGATAATTTTCCATTTGCGTAAATGAAAAAAAAAAAAAAAAAAAAAAAAAAAAGATAAATTACTTGTTAAAACGGACATTTCCACAGCGTTCATCCACAGATATGGACTGACACATTACGATCGGCTATATAAAAAAATAATATTAAAGCTACAGTGTGTTCATGCTCCAGAAATGATCCGCTCTGGCTTCATTTACACGTCTGTGAAGATCTTCTTGATGTTCACGCAGTTCTGGTTGTTCTCGGTGGTGAAGTTGGGCTGTTTGAACGCGCTGTTGTTGCCCTCCTCTATCACCATGTACTCCGACTTGCTGAGGGACGAGGAGCTGCATGACCTCCTCAGCTCCTCTGAGGGGAGGTGCTCACAGCTGCCCGTGTTCGCGTACTGTGAGTGCTCCTCTCCGTCTGTCTCCCTGTGGTAAAAGTAGTTGAAATTGGACACAATGACAGGCACGGGTAAGGCAATGGTCAGCACGCCTGCTATTGCGCACAGCGACCCCACTATTTTCCCACCAATGGTCACCGGATGCATGTCCCCGTATCCGACTGTGGTCATGGTGACAACTGCCCACCAAAACGCATCTGGGATGCTGGTGAAGCTGGACGAGGGGTCGTCTGCTTCTGCAAAGTAAACCGCGCTGGAGAAGAGAATAACTCCGATGAAAAGGAAGAATATAAGCAAACCGAGCTCCCTCATGCTGGCCTTGAGGGTCTGCCCCAGAATCTGAAGTCCCTTTGAGTGGCGTGAGAGCTTAAAAATGCGAAAGACTCTCACCAGTCTGATCACCCTCAGGATGGCGAGGGACATCGCTTGCTGGCCGCCGTTGGTTTGCCTCTCCGCCAGCTCTGTCCCCAAAGTGATGAAGTAGGGGATGATGGCGACAATGTCAATGATATTCATGATGTTTTTGGAGAAGCAAGTTTTGCTGGGGCAGGCGAAAAATCTGACCAGCAACTCGAAAGAGAACCATATGATGCACAGTGTCTCTATCACAAAGAAGGGGTCTGTGAACGGGCTGGGCACGTAGGGAGCAGTGCCGTTGACCGCGGGTGCCACCGTGGCTTGGTCTCTCTCATCCCGAAATTCCGGGAGAGTCTCCATGCAGAAAATGACAATAGAAATTAAAATAACAAGCACTGAAACGATGGCTATCCCTCTCGCTGGTCCCGAGCTTTCAGGATACTCAAACAAAAGCCAAACCTGCTTTTGGAAATCATTTTTGGGCAACACGCGCTCCTCTTCTTTTATAAACCCTTCATCCTCTCGGAATTTCTCCATGGCCTCATCACCCAGTTGATAAAACCTCATCTCCTCGGAGAAAATATCAATAGGGACGTTAACAGGTCTCCGGATGCGCCCCCCTGACTGGTAGTAGTACAGGATGGCATCAAAGCTCGGTCTGTTCCTGTCGAAGAAGTACTCGTTCCTCAGTGGGTCAAAGTAGCGCATCCTTTTCCTGGGGTCCCCCAGCAGCGTGTCTGGAAACTGGTTGAAAGTTTTAAGTTGCGTCTCGAAACGCAAGCCCGAGATGTTGATCACCACCCTCTCGCAGCATCCCTGGCGGCCGCGCTCATATCGATCCACCGACAGGTGAGGCGCCGACAGCACGGCGGACTCCTCCAGCATGTTTTCCACCGTCATCACGCCCCTCTCCACCTCGACATAACCCCGGCTGTCAGACGCGTTGCTGCCCCTGTGCCTGGCGGACGAGGGCGAATGGATCACGCTGGAGGTCTGCTCATCCATACAGGTGGTTATTGGTCTTGGGGAGGTGTGGGGGGGCAGAGTGCGCCACGCCTCTCTCAGCCATAGCCTACAGCTTTAGGGAGCTGAGGCCGACGCCACTTACATCTCTTCTAACCATCACCTATCTGTGCGTATCCACACAGTGAAGCGCGGCACTCCCCTCTGCCTGTGTGTGTTTTTTTTCTCTCCAAACACGTTGGCACCCGCCCACGGCGCGCATATGTCTGACATACGTCCGCCACCCGTCCAATCGGAAATTAACTTGACACTTACTGTCGAGCACGCACCTTCACACCTTCATTCAAGTGCGGTGGAACAAACCCACTTGATGAATCACCTGTTTGATCATTCACACTTTGCCTTTCCTCGACAATCAAGAAATGACAGTGGCGCTAAAAGCACAGCGTGTATGCAAATTTTACTGCTTGAAAAATCAACAATAACACTGAGGTAATCTTTGCTCTGCAGTAAAGTCTGGCTATGGTTGTGTCTAGCACTTTTGACAAACACCAAGTCATTTTTTGGCAACTGGCAAAAAAAGGTGTGCACAGTGGGTGTGAAGATATTCACCGTCCAAAAGCTACAACGCAGAATATTTAATTGCCTGTTCTTTTATTAAATGTCTTATTTGTTGTTGAGGGACTTTTGCTCTCCATGGTGCTGAAAACAGGCGCGCACCAGTGTGTAAAATCAATGCGAGCGCTCCTCCGCGAACGACCGCTGAGTTTAGTTTGTTATGTGCAGTCCATTTGTGTGTGCCCGTGTGTGTGTGTGTGTGTGTGTGTGTGTGTGTGTGTGTGTGTGTGTGTGTGTGTGTGTGTCCGTCTGAAGATGCGTTTGCAGTTATTGGGAACATAAGACGGAAGCCTCGGGATCAGTCACCTCAGTTCCACTCTCCTTTCCGCCGCGTGGTGAGAGAATCGCCTCAAAGAAGCGTCTCGAGTGTCAGTCTTTGTTACAGCTGTGATTAATGACGAAAATGCAAAATCCGAGTTGTTTGTAATTCATCCTGACAGGCTTCATCAAAGGCGTCTGTCCCCGTCTGTGCGCGGGGTTAATGAGTTCAAACGAGGTTCAAGTCTCATGCGCTGTGAACTCTGCTTTTATTTATTTATTTTTATTGTGCCACTCTGGGCTTTCATTTCAACACGTGAAACCCGAAGGAAAAGCTGAGCCTCTCTTCCATCCAAATACGGCAAACATCTAGTACTCAACTATGAACATACTCAGAAAATCCTCTTAAAGCGGATGACACTCATCTAAAAAAACCTATTGACCTCTTTTGCAGCTGCCTGAAAAAAAATTTGTTCAGGCCATGGGAAAACCTCTCACTATCAGGAATACAGTGCAGTAAAAGAAAAGCACACTTCAGCAGTGTAGTGAAACTGAGGTAATAAATTTGAGATTATTAGCCAGTGTTTAAAAAATATCAAGACCAAAAACAAATTCCACATTTTAATCCATTTAACTGTTTCACTGCTAGTTGAGGAACCACAACACCAGAAGCCCTTAAGTTAAACCTCCTCCTCCGTCGAACCAGAGACCTGAAAGTGCCACAGAGACGCCGTGTTGGACCGTCCTGACAGGAGATCAGAAACACTGAGGTCTTGAGTCTAAATTACACACACATGCAACATCCTAAGAAAGTTTTGACTTGCTACTGAATGCTTGAAAATGTATTCATTTAAGATAAGATTTCTGTTCACAGCCAACCAGCAAACAAATAAACTAAATATAAAGATAATCAGAGTAAGACTTTCGAAACCCCATGTAAGTGTCAGATGAAAGTTGATGTACCCACAACAAGTAACACAAAAAAAGTTGACTTTTATTTAATCTCCGAGTAAAATACTGGAACTCCTCTTCCACCCTTTGCTTCAGCAGATGACTTGGTCAGATCTGAGTCTCTTCTTATTTTCCACACAGGCTGAAACTCTACCTCTTCCCAGTCCATCTGCAGGGCTGCAAACACCCAGCCCTGATGTACAATTATGAAAAGACATGATGAAGCTAAAAGCTGATTTCTATAATGGTAAGACAGAGGGAAGAGAACGATGGCAGATCTTGATGTCAGGCAAAACAAGTTCAAAACATTCAAAATGATCATCAATAACAACATAAACAAAACCCGACAGTTTGCAGCTACTAGAAAGTTACGCTGCTATTATCAACCTCCCAGTAGTTGCTTCCCAGTAAGCATGGGAAGTTTTGTCTGGGCTTTTGTCTCCATGGCAACAAAACATGAAGCGCTTTGTTAAGAGAAAAGGAGTTAAGTTGAAGAAGTTATATAATTTCCGGTTCCAACCCGTGCAGGAGCGAGTCGACCAGAGACTACTTTTCACATTTCCACTGAGGAATGAACAATGTTACATATCAGGACTAAAAGGAAACAGCCTGTTTTCTTTGTGTGTGTGTGTGTGTGTGTGTGTGTGTCTGTCTCGACTACAAGGCCACTTATCAAACACACAGAGATCTCCTCAACAAAAAAGGGGACAGATATGAGGCTTGGATCCTGGGCAGGAGAGACTCTTTCATTTCACAACACCACTTGTTATCGAACAGCCTTTGGTTATAATGCCCCAAATCTCCCTGTTTCTCCTTTCCTTTAATCCAATTCACTCTCCATTCAAACATAATAGATATAAATACATTAAATTTAATTTCCCCTGGGCCATGAAAGCACTATTTACACTTGTAAACACAGACTGAGTGAGTGTATCAGCTCAGGGTGTGATTTCAGATTCACAGAAAAATCTGTTTTGATTTGCTCTGTGGCTCTGACCAACCTCTGAGTAATACGAGGGTCAGGGATAACAATAATTGATTGCCAGAGCAGCAGACAGGGTCTCATAGGAAGTGAAATGCTGTCCTGATTACATTGTTATGAGACTGAATGCATGTGTGCCTCTGTTGGTTTGAGAGAGAGAGAGAGAGAGAGAGAGAGAGAGAGAGAGAGAGAGAGAGAGAGAGAGAGAACAAATCCCCCCAAAAAACCCTTTGTTTTATGCATTTCCCATGCAGATAAGATCAGTCTGAGAGCCGAGGTGTCAGACTTCATATTTTTCATACACTTCATGTTTTTTTTACACTACAGTGGATTTATTGTCTTTGCAAACACAAGTCAAAGAATGTCCCAAGATACTGACCTTGTTGCACACATGCCATGTCCAATCTCACATGCATTCATAAAGAGACCCTATATGCCTCAAGGTCATTCAGTCAATTTTCTCCATCATTTTCTAGCCCATCCTGTTGGCTCCCTGCTGAGGATAAAATAGGCCTATTATATATCCAAACCTCTGGAGCTGCACGCAGCTAAAGATAGAGTTTTTATCAGTCTGGGAAGTTAAAAAAATGACTTATTAACTCTGGCAGAAGCTGGAATTTTAAGTGACGTTACAAATGACACTGTGCGTCTGGTCTGCAGGGGGATGAGGGCATTTGATATAATAATCCCTTCCAAAATTTCTGAAGTGCATTTTTCATTCTTCAACACTGTCGACAGTGTCGAGGGAAAAGAGGTCTGGTTTCCATCAAAAGTGACGATGCTTGGACTGCTCTTTGAGTAACGAGGAGCGAGGCTGCCGGTTCGGTCTGGCTCGAAGGCACACACTGACTGATCAATAAAGGCAGAGAGAGAGAGAGAGAGAGAGAGAGAGAGAGAGAGAGAGAGAGAGAGAGAGAGAGAGAGGGACCAGCGTCTATTGATCAGTCACGCATTGGCTGCCAGTGCCGGATCATTACAGTCACACTGTCCGCTGCCACAGCTATCATGAGTCAAGGTGAAAGCCAAGGTCATAAATAACGCTACAACACTTTTCTTGCCACGATTCGAAGCAGCTCAGTGAGGGGTTAAATAAGCAGAGTAACTACTGATTTCTCTTTCAGGCCATATCTTGTGAAATACTGAAACCTCGTTGAGAAATCCAATAATATATAAATATGTATATATATATATATATATATATATATATATATGTTTTGAATAAACTGTTTGCCACTTGGCCAGTAAGTTAATGAAAAACTTTTTTGTTGAGTAAGAACATGGCTCAGGTGGCTTTAATGTTCTGTCAGACTGTATGTTTCCTTGCAAATTAGTGCTATATAAATGTAATTTGTGTTGATGCTAAGAATTTGGATTTGACATGCTAAATGCTTCAGTAAGTCCGTCTCACCACCAAGGAAATGCGAGCAGCTGCTGCCACAGTGATGCATAAAACAAGTGTGACACACATGGAGGCCGATGAGGGAATTAAACTCATCAACTTCCTTAATGCGCCTTAATGTTATGGCTGCTCTTGAAAAAACAAACACACAGGCAGCAGCACAGACTTGCCACTTCATACATACTTATACATAGTGCATGATTATGTTTGCGCATGTCACGCACGCACGCACGCACACACACACACACACACACACACAGGCACAGGCCAGACTATGCAACAACTTTCCAAGACAATCTCTTACAAATGTGGACAGAGAACAAAAAAATGGAAATGATTTTTGCTCAAACACAAATCCCATAACTGAATGATAAATACTTCTGATTAGCATCATCTGACCTTTAACAGCAAATAGGAATGTTTATCAGGGTGCTCTCAACTCAAAGCAGGTCAAAATTGGCATTTGAGGTGCAGCCGCGAGCGAGAGTCACGCAGCCCCTCTGAGATGTGACAGGATGTGATGCAAGTATCAAGAATTACAGCGCCAGATATGGCATGTGACGCCGTACGTGTCATTGCTATTCCAAATGGCGTCCCTGCAGTGAAATTGTGAAGGTCGTGGGCAATGAGGAGGGCGTATGTTGGGGAAAAGATCCAGCCTCCTGGATTAGAGATCCCTGGGGAGAACAAGCTCTCGGGCCCTCTGCATGAAATGCTGTCACAGTTATGGATTGGTATGGCTACACAGAAAGACCCCCCACCCCCCCAAGCTTTTGGCCATTGCTTTATATCTGAGCTGAGGGGAGTTCGCTTTCAGACCACAGGCATGGGCTT